TGGCGTTTTGATTCGTGCATCAGTGTGAATATTCATCAGAGATCAGATGATTTGTGCGTGCAGATTGTGATCTTGTTCCTTGCGCTGGTTGGATGTCAGAGGAAACCTCTTTGTCCAAGATATGTGTCTTGCTCTGTTTTTTTTTTTTTTAAGTTTAATAAATATACAGCAGTGATTTGTGATGGTATAACTTTTCATTAGTATAATTACATATGTAATGTATTTAAACACTTGCACACACAGATTGGACTGGGCTCACATTAGCTCTCACAGCTTCGGGCTCTGCTTACATAATCAGAACACACACGCGGATTTGAGAAATGCATCCTCTGCAGACAGTTGCATTTGCCATCATAACGTAATGAAACTATATGCCCGTTAATGTTCATTTGATGGTAGACTGACTGTGTTTTGACGTTCCCCATAATGATGAGACTTTCCAGATGTTTCACATAATCCCTGAATGTAAAGTTCACTGTTTATTTCTGTATAGGTGAAGGGAGACCGTCGAATAATATTGTATCCCTCAGGTTATTCATCAAATGCTCACTGGCTTTAAAACAATGCAGCTTCTAATTGTTCCGTTTCACTTTGAGATCGATATCTGGAAATGTGCATGCCGAAGCGGAATGTGTGGTTTGTGAATTGCCCTTTTACAGTGATTGAATGAAAATGACATTTTGAAAACCCTGCCCACCTCAAGCCTTTCTGACAGATGTGATCCAGACCTGAGACTCGGTCACCTATCAGAGAGAGAAACCCTTTCCAAGAGCTCTTTGACATTCTCGAAGGTCGGGCATGTACTAACATACCTATGTTCTTCAGCAAAGGCTGTCCTATTGTTTAAAGCCTTTACGAGGTGTGTGAGTGCTGTGTGGCCACTGACGTGCTGATAATAAACGTTGTCTGTTATTTCTTTTAGTAGACAATCATTTATTACCTCCCTGAAATTTGTATGATCGAAGCAGAGTATTGTGAGTTTAAGGAAGTGTTTTCATTCAGTGATTGAGAAATGATGACTCTGCTTTCTCTACTAACTACTGCAAGGCAACTATTGTAAATATTTATCTTCTAACAGTACAGTATGTTTATTATACTTGCATCAAATAATAAAAAAGATTTATACTCAGCTTTTGAGTTTTCTGTCTGCCTCTACACACAAGTTTTATAAATTGTAATGTATTTTACAGTCTTATTTAGTCATTTGAAGCATGATGCAGTTTTAACCATTAAAAGTACCTCTAGAAAATGTTATACCTTCTTTTATTATGCAATCATTTATCTTTAATAATCCAAATACAATGCTTATATAGGATCGAGAGTGAGAGTAAAGACTTTTACATTGTTTTAAAGATTTCTATTTCTTTTTGACTATTTTTCAAAGAATATTTAAAAAATGTATCACCATTTCCACTTAAATCATATGACACTGAAAACTGGAGTAATTGAAATATTTCATAATATTACTGTTTTTACTGGATTTTATCATCAAATATGCAGCCTTGTGAGCATTATAGACTTATTTAAAAACAGGTATGAATGGTAGTATATGTTCATAACATTTGCTGTAGGCTAATGTTTTATGACGTATACTTTGTTTCACTATAAACTGACTTTTGATGTAATGGACATAAAAATACACCCTTTAATGAAACTTGAAAACAATAGCCAGCAAACTGTTTTAAATGAGATGTTGACCCTTTCCTCCCACAAGAGGGAAACCTCGGTTCACAGAAGCTATAGGGGCTCACCATTTCAAGACCACTGTCACAATGGCCAGAAGAAGAAAGAAAAAGACTTGCAGAAGTTGTATTGATTCCTTTGATGCTATTAAAGCTTAGTATTTGTTGAAAAAAATAAATAAAATTGTGACGAAAACGTACAGCAAGTTTGTTCTTCCCCATTTAGGATCTAACTCTCACAAACCTTTATAAAAAACTTTTAAGTGTTTTCGCCTACCGCAGTGGTTCTTAAATCTGGTCATGGTGCATAAATAAAGAGAACTTAAGTAGATGATAAACCCTAGGGGGCAAAGCTATGAATATAGATGAGATAAAACAGCAGTTACTTAGCCCTGTTGCTTTTCTGACTTTAAAAGGGGTGGTATAATGCCCTTTTCACAAGTTGATGTCCCCAGAGTGTGTGTATGTGAAACTTTAGCTCAAAATACCCCATAGATATTTGTATATTGCGTGTTAAAATTTTGAGGGAGAGCAAAAACGCACCATTTTTGTCTGTCCCTTTAAATGCAAATGAGCTTCTGCTCCCGGCAAAAAGGGCGGAGCTTCAAGAGCTCGTGTCCTTTTACCTCACATGGATATGCACTGTAAAAGCATTTTATGTTCAAACAGGAGTCGGACAAAGATGGAGAGACTCAAGAAGAAGTGACAACATGTAGAATGCAGCTGGACATTTCTGAATGGTTAGTTGATTAATTTATGTCGCTGATGTGGAGTTAACTATCTTCTAGTCATTGATCAGTCTTTGTCAGACACGTGGGTTTGTTGTGTGTGACCTCACTGCGGCGCCATTTTTGAGGCATCTACTGACTGTGAGCATTGAAGGGATTATGAGAGTAGAGATAAGTAAATAACTCGCAAAACTGCAGAAGCACAAGAAAACTGAGAAAATGCCGTACTGCAATAAACTAGATAAATATGGCAGGTACCGGTATTTGGAGAAAGTGTCATCCATCCAGAACATAGATCCATGTATGAGCTCAGCTGACTGCAGAGTGCTGAACCTGCATTGCTTTCAACTAGTTTATGGTATATAAGCAAATAACGTTACCAGTGAACAATTTAAAAACTATAACTTACATCTCTTAAAGCCCACGGACATTTCACCAAGTACTGTGTCCTTCGGACGGTAGGAATGTAAATAAATCCTGTAAAGTTAGTAACAGCAAAGATAGGTTTGCTGAATTGATGATGATGATAGTGTCATGTTAAGGATGGTTTAGTTTGAAAAAAAAAAGAATGAAAAAACAATTCTCCAACAACAGAATACCCCAGCGTCGATACCTTACAAATGGCGGCTACGCCCATAATGTGTGACGTCACCTGACAAAGACCGATTCGCATTTCTGTCATGATAAATCTATAATCACATTCCTGGGGGCAAGGTTTATGTAAATTTTACATAAAGTAGAAGAAGGTCATTGTAGTCCCTACCAACCATTTGTTAGTCCTTAAAAAGTGATTTCTGTAAAATAAAGTATCTCCCTTTGCTTTAAACTTTTATGAAACAGCAACATTACACACTAACTAAAGTTAGAAAAGTGAACTCATAATCAACCCCCCCTTTAATACCAGTGAACAACTTCTTGATTCTGAGGGAGCAACATAAGTCTCTACCTGAAGACAGAATAGACAGACTCCTTATTGTCCATGTGACAATGGCCCATTCTGGTTCATGGAGCACAAAATTCCTCTTGGTAAAGCTGAATCTGATGTGCAGGTGTGCAGTGTCTTGTTAAGTCACATTCTTCCTCTGAGAGCAGACCCATGGATTCCCACAACTTGTTTGTTACATGTTTGTTTATTTCTTTTCATATTATGGAAATACCTGTCGTGAGATATCACGCAGAGCACGTAACTTTGTAACATAGCCTACCGAAGCCTACCAATATGAAAATATTATTTTCTTGCCAATCAAAAGGCGCTTTCTGTTTGTCAATCATTTTGCACGCCGTAAGTGGGAAGTCGGAAGCGCGATAAATGAATTTGGACTTTCGTGTCGTTTCTTCTTCTTTTTTTTTGTTTTTAAAGCAAAACGAAACAAAAACATCAGTAACATCGGTAAAACATTTCATTGCTGGACAGAGGGAGCTTTAAAAGTGAAAATCGCTTGAAAACAGAAGCAGAGTGAAATGCGCATGTCCCTAGCTACGACCCTGGTTACACCGAAGCGGGAGTTTTGTAAAGAGGGGGCGTGTCTAATTCGGCAGATGTTATAAAATGGTGTAGCACAGCCTATCTTTAAATGGGTTGTGCATACTTTTACCTATTTCCTAGTTAAAATATTTTAATTGGGTTGGACTCAATGTCCTGATCCATTCGAATCTGCAGGTTTTTTCTGCATATCCTGCAGTTTTTGTCTGGGCTTGAAGTCCAGCCCCACTGATTAAGGTTTGATAAGGTATACGACTTTTATTAACATCATAAAATATAGGCCTAGTGTGTGTGAAAGAAACTACTAATTGGAAGACACATTTTAAACTTTTATTTTACACTACCTGGAAGACACATTTTAGAGCTTTTTTACAGAACAAGGGTGTAATAATCTTCAGTCAATTTAAAGGAAATGGTAAGGTTTATGCAACTTTGAGGTAAAGAACACCATACGTGTATAGTACAAATCTATACAATTATTACATGAAACAGAATATGTAATTCAGTAGTTTTTCTCAATTAAGTCACAGCTTTTTTACGATCACTGAAGACTTTTCCACAGTCCTGTGCAGTGCACACAATGGCATCAAACTTACCAGAATTTTTGTTTCACATTCATGCAGATATAAACATCTTGGGTCAAAATAACAGGAAAAACCCAGCAGCACATAGACATAGTAGCAGAAATGCTTCTATATGGATCAGCTTTTGACATGTTTTCCAATGCAAAGGACAACTCGTGAGTTGAGAGCATTTAAAGTGCATCATGCATTTAGGGAATGCACACCTAACTGATTTCATTCTTTGAATAATATGATGTTAATATTATCCAGTACCTAAAGCCCAAAATATAGAATCAGTGAAACAATAGCGCTAGAACACTCCAGTAAAGCTAATTTAACGCATCTATTGTTTTTTAAATAAACCATTGTAAATGATTTAGGATCTGAAATCAAATATTGTGTTTAATATAAAATCAGATTATCATTTAATTTTTGCAACAAAAAAAAATAGTTTTGATGATTCAGATTTTTTCAACAAAATTCATTTAACACATAATATTCAGCTTGCGCCTCTATTTGGTACACTTTTTGGTCAAACTTGTAGATTGTTTATTTATTGTCTCAGGATCCAGAGCTGTTGTCATCAATCTAATCTCAGATGCTAAAGAACATTTGCCAAGTCAGATTTCAGAGGACTCAATCCTCTCTATCCAGGGCAGACCGGTGGGCGGCTTTGCTTCCTCTCCTCCGCCCCCTGCTCCCCCCTCTTCCGCTCTGGCCCAGCCCCCTCTCAGCATCGCCAGTTCTTTCTCTAAGGCCTCGTTCTTGTGGTACATCTCCAGGTAGCTGGCCTGCAGTTCCTTCTGGTAGCGTATCACCTTCTCCTTCTCGTTCTGCCATGTGCTTCTCTCATTTTCAAAAGCGGAAGTCTGCGCCTCGTTCTGGCGCCTTTCCAGCAGCAGTTCAGCTCTGAGACGCTCCTCCGTGGCACTGGCTCCTCCAGTCTCACCCGCATCCACTCGAGTGTCCTCAAAAGCAGGCAAGGGGCATTTCCGGCGGGCGCCCTGTAGGGCCATCTGTAGCATGTCGATCTGGCTGTCCTTGCTCTGTATCTGATTGCGTGCCTCGTGCAGCTGAGTCTTTAAGAGGAAGATATCGCTCAGCTTCTGTGTGACCTCTGCCTGAGAGTCTCGGAACTGTTGCTTCAGTAAAGCGATTTCTCCAGACTTCTGGCAGACCTATTAAATCAACAAAATGTTGTCATTTTCACAACTTATACAATATACATATGAACAATATTCTCAAATCATATTTTGAATAAGAGGCTGTTAGTGTTAATAATGCTAGGCTTAGTAGGGGTTTGTCCAGATAGGCAATAAAAATCGGTCTTTCTGTCACTCTTTCAAATCTACGGAAGCGTGTTGCATTCATTTGAAGAAAAAAAATCTACCCTGTTTTTCTGAATTAACGAGTTAATTATCTCAGAATTACGAGATTTTTTTTTCTGAATTAATTCAGAAAAACAGAGCAAAAACTTTTTTTCCCATGAAAAATTATCTTGTAATTCTGAGATAATTAACTCAGAAAAACAGAGCAAAACTTTTTTCCCATGAAGCATTATCTCGTAATTCTGAGATAATTAACTCGTTAATTCAGAAAAACAGAGCAAAAACTTTTTGTCCATAAAAAAATTATCTCGTAATTCTGAGATAATTAACTCGTTAATTCAGAAAAACAGAGAAAAAACTTTTTCCCATGAAAAGTTATCTCGTAATTCTGAGATAATTAACTCGTTAATTCAGAAAAACAGAGCAAAAGCTTTTTTTCCATGAACAATCATCTCGTAATTCTGAGATAATTAACTCGTTAATTCAGAAAAAAAGAGCAAAAACTTTTTCCCATGAAAAATCATCTCGTAATTCTGAGATAATTAACTCGTTAATTCAGAAAAACAGAGCAAAAGCTTTTTTTCCATGAAACATTATCTCGTAATTCTGAGATAATTAACTCGTTAATTCAGAAAAACAGAGCAAAAGCTTTTTTTCCATGAACAATTATCTCATAATTCTGAGATAACTAACTCATTAATTCAGAAAAACAGAGTAGATTTTTTTTCTTCAAGTGAATGCAATACACTTCTGTACAAATCCATTTAGTTGTCTGATGTCTGAACTGAGCAAATCCAATGTGGTTAGAAATCTGATTAAAGTCAGATCAAAGTCATTCTATGATATCGTATTTTATGTGATGATTAACTATGGGAATGTTTACACTACAACAATGTACTAAAGACAGAAAGGTTTTTCATTTGCATTTTTTGCATATAGACCATTGTCATAATGATCCCCGTTCACAAGGCTCTACGAAAACGATACAAAATGCTGTATTATGCATGCCAGGCCAATAGATGGCGATCTCACTTTGTAAAGCAACACCACACACCTAAAGACTGAACACGTAATATGCATGCACATCGTTTTCATTAATTTGCGAGGGTTTTTGTAGTTTACACAAGTGCGATAACAGTATCGTTTTCAATTTTTTTTACGTTTTTTGTTGAAAACGGTGTTGTGTAAACAGCCTAACATGCATTTAAATGCTTAAAATCTCTGTGAGTGTGATGACATTCCCATTCAATCTCAGAGGCACAATTTCTATCATTCCTCATTTTCTCTGTCTCTACAAAGACATTGACGTTTTCATTTCTTTTTTTTTGCCTTTGTCACAAAAGTCATTACTATGGCAACTGATATATATCAGATATTGGCTACACTGATTGAACAAGCAGCTCTGGTTGCTTGTAAAATGACAGTGTGGACAGTCAACCCTTAACATCTGATTTAGATTTACAGTATGGTCAGCGTGAACAAAACTAACAATCAATACATGATGCGTTCCTTCATTTATCATCCAACTAAAGGTTGCTTTTTTTTATCATCTCGTGCAAAGTTTTCTGCAATCCCCAAAGCTCTGAATAGATAGCTCTGACTTAATGCATACCTCCCATTGGGTCTCTTCCAGCTGGGGATTAATGTTCTGGCTTTGTCCCGCTGGGCTTTGACTTTTCAGGGTCTGGCACTCCAGCCTGACAGAATCCAGCTCCTCCTGCAGCCGTTTGCTTTCCTGCTGTACCTTATACAGCTGCAGCTGCAGGTTTCGCTGGGAACGCTGGGACTGCTGGGATACCTGGCGCAGTTTGGCAGTGTACAGGTATTTCAATTCTGTAACCTCCTTCTCCCAGAGCCGCTGCTTCCCTTCAAAAACCTACAGGAGCACACAAACACAGTTTTGATTTTTTTTATTTCTGCTTTATTTGTCATTCTAATTTTGTTTACACGGAACCTGTGCTTTGAGAAATGTGAGATGCGTTTTTTTTTTTTTTTTTTTTTAGTTGAACTGATTTAACTCGAGCGGCTCGTTTTTAGAATGCTGCGTCATGTGCGAGACGCTGAAAAAGACGTGAGTGCAATGGTTTATACACATCCGTCTAGCAGATGTTTACATAAAGAAACAATGGAAAAGTAACGCATTGGAATGGAAGAATGCGTTCTGTGTCAACACTAAGATTATTGTTTTTGTTTTTCAGTGTTTTCAGGTTTGTTTCGTTTTTTTACTTTAGATGTTTTTAAAGGGACAGTTCACTTTGAAATTAATTTTTGATATGTTTTTAGCTTACCTCAAGGGCATCCAAGATGTAGGTGTCTTTGTTCCCACAGTATTTTCAATTTTGATATTTTTAGATCAAACTGTTCTTGTCTGTCAGTCATATAATGGTCACCACCTCAAAGAGCATGCACAGAGAAGTCCAAATTAAACATGATTTAATGACTCGTAAATGTAAGTACACATTGATGGCCTAAGACACGAAACGAGCGGTTTGTGTGAGAAAACGAACAGTATTTATATCGTTTTTACCCCTTGTAACCACAGCCACGTCCAAGTCGTCTGAAGGCACGGGCGCTCCGGTCTGTGCAAGCGCCGGAAAGTGCCGGAAGTGATCTCTTGCGCAGTTGCGGAAAAAATATCAGCGTTGTCTTATCTGTTGATATATTGAAATCGTCAATTTCCTGTATATCTAAATATGTTTAGAACTTCAAGGGTAACACTTCTGAAATCTCTGTGTAAACAATGAGTGACATAACTGCGCGAGAGATCACTTCCGGGGCTGTCCGGTGCTTGCGCAGACAGAATCGCCCTCGCCCTCATAGTACTTGGACGTGACTGTGATTACAAGAGGGAAAAACGATATAAATACTGTTCGTTTTCTCAAACAAACCGCTCGTTTCGTGTCTTAGGCCATCAATGTGTACTTACATTTATGAGTCATTAAATCATGTTTAATTTGGACTTCTCTGTGCATGCTCTTTGAGGTGGACCCCATATACCTCCATTATATGACTGACAGACAAGAACGGTTTGACCATAAAAATATCAAAATTGAAAATACTGTGGAAACAAAGACATCCATCTTGGATGCCCTTGAGGTAAGCTAAAACATATCAAAAATTAATTTCAAAGTGAACTGTCCCTTTGAGGTCTGTATTTAAGATGTTTTAAACACCATTCTGTAAGAAATATATATAGAATAAAATCTAAATCTTAAAACTAAAAAGTTAGAGTTAAAAACTAAATTTTTTTATACGCATAAAATATTTTTTTAATCTATTTAAAATTCATGATATAACCCATTTTAAATGCAGTACACTACTCTTCAAAAGTTTTTTTTTTTTAAAGAAATGAATACTTTTACTCATCCACTTTTGAAAATTCATCTTTGCATCACAGAAATAAATTACTTTTTAAAATACATAGAAAACACCTTACATTTGGTAAGCATAACTTCTTTTGAAAACATCAAAATGTTACCGACCCCAAACTTTTGAACGGTAGTCTATGTTTAATAGATCATGTTTTCTGACCTGTGCAATGGCATCTTCGCTCTCATCCAAGTTCCTCCTCATCTGACGTAGCTCGTGCTCCTTTTCCTGCAGGCGTTCCTCCAGGTCCCTCACCACGTCCTCCATAGAGTGTGACAGCTCGTAGGGGGGCGGGGCCTCGCTTCCATAGCACTGCAGGCGGTTCAGCGTAGCCATACTGTGACAGGACACGTCCGTGACTGTGGAAGCGGCTCCCTTGGAGCCCAGCGAACTGCGATCCAGTGAGCCGATGTGATTGATGTGACCCATAGAGGCGCTGATTTGTCCCAAGTGAGGGCGGAACGGCGGCCGATAGGGCGGCAGGCTGTTCATGGAGTTGTGTCCCGAGTCGGACGTGTTCTCCTCTTCCTGGCTGTGGCCCCGGGCTGCCGCTGCTAGAACTCCTTTTCTGGTGCTCATGCCTGGCCGTGAAGGGGAGGAGGACGAGGAAGAGGTGGACAGCGATTTGGGCGCTGCTTTGGCATAGGATGGATGCATGCTGTTGGTTAAGCCGCTCTCTAGCTCCTCCGACTTGGAAGGGTAGAGGTTTTGCATGGAGCTGAAGTTTTTGGGGGTGACCGGTTTAAAGGCGGAAGGTCTGAAACGTGGCTGTGAAATGATAGGGATAAGTCAATTGCAGCATGAGCATCAGGAGAATAACGCTACACTTAAAAACTGGAGCCATGCCAAACAACATAAAAGTAATTTAATGTAGACCCCTTTTGCTTCCATATTTCTTCTGTCTCGCTGAGTTTCCTGCTCAATAACGTCACCTGAGGGGGACCATATTTGATTACAGAGATAAATTTAGCCAGTCAGTTAGTCTACGTGGTGCTGGACAGAACAGTTTATATGATTTATTTCCATTTGCGACTCGGGGGAATAGCCCACCTATCAATAAATTACACTTGCCTCAGGAAGAATTATTGCCTTTATGGAGCCGGATTTGAAACACTGTCACAATTTCTGCATTTCATTGACAGGCTTTGAAACTGCAACGAGGAACCTATTCATCTTTTTTTCATCCACTCATTGTAAAGTGTGTTTTTAATACCTGCTCCTTCCGAGATTTGTTGAATACTTACTGAAGCAAGTGCCGATGGGTGAAAAAGTCAATAACTTTGATGAATTCACCCTTACTTTTCGCCAAAAGTTTTTATTTTATTCTTAATGAAATAATGCTGCATTCAGGTCTTTTTAAAATCGAATCTGCTGTCACATATTTTAGTCTCAAGAACGTCTCAAAAATACTAATTTTTAACTTTTTTTGGTGCTTAGTTGTTGATGACAGATTAACAAAATATTACATTCGTTTTATATGTTTTACTAGCTGGTTTTACAATAAATTATAATACATTCATCATAAATTGTAATAAATAAAAACAATTAGTACAGTTAGAGAAATACATTTTTCACTAGACTCAAATATAACAAATATATTTTTTATTTGTCAAATTTAAAAAAAAAATTGAATGTATTTTAACAATAAATTTATATGGTCCTTTGTTACTGTTGATGCCTGAAAAATACTACATTAATTCACCTCCATATGCTCTTGTGAAATATATAAAGCTTAAGCATATAATTTATGCTTCACTAGCATCATTAAACACAGTAACAAAACTAGAAACTGTTTTCAGACAGGTTTCCCAAACACTCCTCACATCTCTGCCATTGTCCTGAGTTAACAAAGTTTGATGTTAGTAGACTCCCAATTGCTGTGATTCTGACATGACATGACTTTTTCACAGTCGTTTACCTTATCAAACTTGCCACCTATGGGAAGTGAGTTCTTTCCCAAATCAAGCTCTTTTCCATCTCGATGGTAGACCTTGGTGTAGATGTCGTTCTCCTCGCTCCTGTGCTCTCTCTTGATGGAGGATGTGCCAGAGATGATGTGTTTGCTGCCCTTCGCTTCCTTCTTGGTGATGTTCAGATAGTTAAGCAGCTCTCTCTGGTTAAAACCCTTCTTGAGCAGGCCATGGTTATGACGTCCTGATACTTGTGGAACTGCTCTATTGCTCTTGGTTGGTGACACGTCTGGTTTCTCGATTAGGCTGCCTACGCTTCCCATGACGCAGCGACCTGATGCCAAAGAGGAAGTCGGATAAACGGCACAGATGCTTTTGCTCGGGTCCTGGTTCAAGGACAGGGCCTGGACTGTTGCCATTGGTTACTGGTTCAAATGGCTCCACTGGAATCTCTAAATTGAAGGAAGAGAAAGAAAAAAAAAACAATGAACACCCCTTCAGAGGATCAAATATGAAACCTGAATCCTTCTGCAGAATATTCTGATATTTCAATAAGTTTTGGTTGCATCCATCATCATGAATTAAGATATTCCTCTTACCATCCAACTTCAACTGTATATACACACATACATATCATATATATGCATGTATATGTGTGTGTGTGTGTGTTTTTGTTTAACCTACATTGAGAGAACATTTGGTCAGGGGTGTGTGTGTGTGAAACTTTGTATATAAAATTTTTATTAAAATATATATACCGTTAGTCTGTACTGTTGCAGGTTGTTAGTCTCTAAATATAAGCTCTATTTTGAAACTACGTAACAATAGTTAACTTTAAAATTTCAGCCACCATGAGTACTTGTTTATTTATGTAGTCTAACAAGAAAATGGGTCGAAAGCATCTGCTTTCCTCTTTGAAATGAGAACTACTGTACACACAGAAGTTCACAAGTCTGTTATATAACTGAGATGATACAAGCTGGGAATCATCCCATGAGCCAAATACACTGAAAATGAGGGCAGATGCTTTTGCACCGTGAAAAAACCCACTTTTAATTTACACTGCCATACTGTTGCATTAATCAATGTCCTCTGGTAATCACTAATCTTTCCCTACGAAGAAAAACTCACTCAAAGTGAGGTTGATCCACTTATTTCCGCTCAGTGCTGCTTCAATATATCTGTTTAGCAGTGCTACCCTCTTGCTTTCTCTTTCTTTCTCTCTAACTCTCCCTCTCAATCAATTTTCTTTTTGCAGAGAACCTCATTAAGAGGCGGTATTGATTTCACTTCAACAACCTTCTCTCTCATTTCTGTAAAAGTAGGCTATTGGCCTCAAACAGCTGTAAAGATAAAATACAATGACATCAAGTGTTTCTGCGTTTGTATGCACTCCTCTACAGGCACATCCAATATACTCTCTCACTTTCTTATATACATGTAGGACTCATTTCTGTAACTAATAATAAAAAGACGGAAAAACACTGACTCTGATTTAGTCATAAATAATATAATGACCTTGTTTGAACAACACGCGGCCTATGATTCTGACATGCAGTCAAGCTGATACAGAGAAATGGATCTGCTTGAAGGCCTAAAATATTCCAGCACTTTGCCAGACCGCTACTCAGCATCCTGTTGAGAATGTCTCTGAGAGTTTCAGTGCATCTCACTCAAAGCAAACATTTAATCTCTGTGACCTTCCCCCTAGGCTATTAAAAGGGTCATGAACTGGCTTTTTACATTTTTTTTTTATTGTTGTCTGAGGTCAACTTATGACGTTCGCTTGGTTTTTACAATAAAAAACATCACAATGAATAAGTAGGCTATTTTCTACCCTAGTTTTGAGTCTTAAAACAGTTTAAACTGTTTTATGAAGCTCACACGCTGCATCTGAATATGTCTACTTTCATACGTTGTAGGTGAAAAACAATATGTGAGCTGAGTAGTAAGTCTGAATTCATAGTATTCAAAGTAGTCGAAAAGTAGCTGGATGACCTGCCAGCGAAATTCTGAAGTGCACATTAAATGGTCACTTTACTATCCCATAAGGCAATGGAATACATATTTATTGCACATAGAATGCCAAGTCAATTTCAAACCAAATAGTATCTATCTTATTTCAAGGTTATATGCTCTGAAAACAAGTCTTGTTTTTTTATATTTTTATGAAAAATTTGACAAAAATACCACTTAATTTTGGTGAACTTAACTTCATTTTGTTTAGGACTTAATATTTGCCAATGAAGAATGACAAATATACAGCTTCGTTTTAAAACAAAACGGCTTCACCAGATGCCATTACACGACGCTTACAAGCACATACAGTGGCAAGCACAGCATCCCCTCCAGGATCTTCCTTAACAAAATGATCATTTACCAAACTCAGCCTTATTCTACTTGAGTGATTATGCAAATAGTTATAGAAGAGGCAAAAAAGTGTGGCCCTTAATTTTTGGCTTTTACCCATGAAGAGATCAAAAAAGCACCTCATGATTTTATGCATGAGATCATTTGGCTGGACTCTCCTCTGTTTTATGCCATCCCAGCACTGAGCACTCAGCTAACTACAACACTTACTGCACAAGACCTGCGTCTGCGCAAGCACCGATTATTAATATGCCATGACTTGGAGTGCCGCTTTAGTTTATGATTGACAGGTTGGATAAAAGTATTCTAATGGGGAAACTTAGATATATAAGTGACTGCACTCTGAATGTGACAGGAAGTGGGCGTGTCGGGATTCGGGAAAAACATTTTGAGTTGAGTTAATTTCAGAGTTGATATACGTACATGGATGATGGCGCTTTGCGTCTCAACACGAGTAAACACTGACTGATATCTTAATATCCCTGTATAAGACCACGATTATGTTCAGATAGCCATACTTCCTTTTAAAGTGCAGTCAGGCAGATCAAAATGTGTTGACACAGGAGCAGGAAACTGATGTCCACCTTGATTTATATATTTCAAAGCTTACAGTACTGTATAGTGCGCATAAAGTTTTTGCTGATAATTTTGTGATTTTTCTTTTTTTTTTTTTTTTTTTTTTAAAGTTTTTATGAAGGGTTGTGGTGGGGTTAGCTAAGGTTTGAAACCCTTTTAAAAGTGTCCACAAATCTTGTAGGACAGGAAAAATGTTGCATCCAGTCTTTTTCTATAATTGCTTCAGACACTGAACAGCCGGAGTGGGCTGAGAGACTGGAGTTGATTTACAGCCTAGTCGGGCCCTTCAGAGCTAGTGCCCTACACACACACACACACACATTCCCCCCAAATGGAAAAGCTTTAATTAGAGGCCTGTCTACTTCACAGCGAGTGTTCAGTTCATTTGTTTAAAAAGCACCTGAATATTTTAAATGTCATTGTTTATATTATATAATGATTACATTTTGAATCTAAAACAAAATCCATCTGAGACAAAATCTGGTGTTCCCTGTTCATGAAAGTAAACATTTGGAAAAGAAAGTTCCAATGAGAGGATGTAAAATCTTCTTAAAGGTCCCCTGACATGAAATGTTCACTTTCTGAAGTTTTTTAACATTAATATTCGTTCCCCTAGCCTGTATTTGGTCCCCTCGTGTCTAGAATTTTCAATCGGTGTAAACCGAGCTTTGGCTATTTTTCTCTTCTCTGCAGCTCAGACGCGCTGATCTTGAATCTCCCCGTTATTACATCATAACGAGGAAAGGTTTTTCCTTTCTTTGCTTTGCCCGCCCGGAAAATTTGGCTCGCCCATGAGAAAATGAGCTAGGAAGTATGAACGCACGAACGTTAAAAACCTATAATAGTGTAAAAGTATTCGAGAGAGTTTCATATGCAAGCATGTCAGCCAATCACAGCAGTGTCCAGTTATATTGAATCCGACAGCAGACACGCCCCTTCAAACAGAGCCTTCAAATCAGAGGCTAAAATCAGACTAGGAAAAATGCCTTTTATTTCTAAATTATGACTATTTTTTTTTTTATCTAAAAACATATTAACATTATAAGCAACCATAAAATAATAAAATAACCCCATGTCAGGGGACATTTAATGTAATTTTTCAAGTAAATTACAACTCTCACTAATGTAACTGTTTTTGAACCAATATACTTTTTTTTCTTCAATTATTTGGTCCAACTATTTTGGCATAACACATAGATGTTCGCTAAATAGCTTCAGTACAGAAGTGCACAAGGAAGATGAAGTTAAAGCAGGTCTCAAAGATCCTTCAAATTCCAATCATACTTCTAAAAATCAAGTTAAGACTTGCAGTCTCTCTCATGAAGACTCATCCTTGTCTAGCTTGGCGAATCTCTAAAAAATATCAGAAGTTTACTTCCTTCTTTGGCTCTAAACATTTATACAGCCTTATTCTTGTTTTGTTGCACATTTTTGTGCACAGACCATCACAACCTTATTCCAGCGCAGACAAGCAGGCTATGTTCAGACTAGCATAGGCTACTACTATTTCTGCAATGTGCAGCATGAAGCTTCTGCATTCATGGGAGCCTGCAAAAAATTGCTGTTCATAACATAGTTGTCACACTTTGGCTGAAGCAGGATCCACATGCAGCACAGTTTATTCGATAAACTGAAAACTTCACAAAGGCATCCAACGTCAACCATAAGAACTCACAAGAACTGGACTAAATCACAGGGCTTAAATACAAGGCCAACAATGTGTTAAAATTTAACTTACAATGGTGTCCTATAAGCTATTGAATTTGAAGGGGCTGGTCTGCTGGCACAGTCACAGGAAATGACACATTTCATTCCACTAGGCATTTAAAAAGTAAAAAAACAAAACAAAAACAAAAACCCATAGGGCTATTTATTCACTCTCAGCTTTCTGGTCAATGATGTTACATCATAGGAGCCATGTTGTGATTATCATTTACCCACAGGCCATGGACAAACCTAGACATGAACCCATCTGCATGTCATTGCGTTAATGAACATGACAAATGTGCCTTGAGGGCACAAACATTACACAAACTCACTGCCTAACCTCATAATCGGAAAGTGCTTCACAGACAAAAACAAAAAATTGGGTACAATTTATTAGTACATTTAATACTGAATTGAATGTGTGCACTTTTAAGTGTCCTTTAAGTGTAACTAATACATTTTGAGCACACTAGTCTAAAAATATGCTTATCTATACTACAAGTTTATAGTTTAGTCAAATACTAGTAGAATTGCTTTTAGTTTATGAAATTGCACTTTGAAGTATACTCTCTGTAAACGATATTATATATACTATATACTATATATATATATATAATATTATTTTTAGATTTAAAATATAGTTTCTTATTTTTAGATTAAAAGCTGATAGCATGCTCGTAGAATTGCTTTTAGTTTATGAAATTGCACTTTGAAGTATACTCTCTGTAAACGATATTATATATATATATATATATATATATATATATATATATATATAATATTATTTTTAGATTTATAG